GAACTGAGACGCCTCCTGAAGCTGGGGGCCTGGAGGAACTATGCCTCAATGAGACAGGGGGCTAGAAGAAACCACCGCCAGCAAAGGTAGATGGCAGAGAAGCTTCTCTTATCTCAGCTTGCGTTTTGAGGGGGGAGTGATGCTGGTGGATAACCATCTCACTAGAAAATACTTTACCATAGGCCAGCCTCATACGGATTCAGAGTTCAAATGTATACTCTTGTGTGGCTGGAGAACCCTCATGCCAAAAAAATATACGATGAACATATTTCTGATCTCAAAAAACTATGGGATGCCTGGTAGAAACAAAGATTAAAAACCTGCCCTGGAGAAACCAATGCTCAGCTAAAGATGAACAAAAATCCAATAGATAAAGCTTCTGATTAGATGAATTCACCAGCTTCTAATTCAAAATTTAAAACCATCTATAGCTAAGTGGGGGAGAGATCATAAACCCTCAAGAACTATGGATAAGTATTTCAGGTAAGGATAATAAAATTAATACATAAAAGAAGAACTACATATGAGAAAAGGAAAAATACACTATAAGATAATTGTAAGGTAGATACGAAAAATAATTACAACTGCTAGAAATGAAAAATATCATCATTGATTTTAAATTCCGTGTTTGGGTTAAACAGCAGATTTGGAAATTAGAGCTGAAAAAACTACTTCCCATGTCACTTAAGTATTTTCAGAGCTGTGTGATGGAGAGGCTAGTCTTTTCCTGATAGAAATCCAGACTTTCTCAGCTTTCATATATAAGAAAATTGAGAGTTAAAAAATATAAAAGTGAAGTTGAGACACGAAGGACAGAATAGGAAGGCTCATCACTGACAATTAAGAGTTCCAGAAGGAGAGAATAGTGGTAATTAAGGAAAGGCAAAGTTTACAGAGAGAACTATTGAGAATGTTCTAAAATTGTTAAAAAAAAAAAATACTTGAAATCTTATTTTAAAACACAGTGACTCTAGAGCAAAATTAAGTAGATGGAATTATGGATGACCAGTGTATAGAAGAAAGGCTAAAAGTTGGATAGGAGCAGTAGAGCCATTTCTGATGGCATGTAAGAATCTTGTCAACCTTCCCTTTTTCCTCCTCCAGGAGGAGACTCATTTCACTCCCTGGAGGATAAAACAAGCTGGCTACTCTGAGTAATACGTAAATAAGCTTAGGTTTGTAGGTGGAATAGTTTCCATTGCTTTCAGTGAGCAGGCTCAAGTTATAACCACCAGCTGTTTGTAATCAGATTCCTTCATTCATGGTTTGCGCTGGCCTTTCATGGCCAATGTCACCAGTTACTCTGCCTGAGGTCAGTGAGACTGTGTCACCCCTACAGAAATTAGTCTCAACTCTTAGGAAATGTGTTTTATCTCCTGTTTTCTTATCACTTAGTAGACCATACCAGTGTTTGTGAATGATGACAAAATCCGAATTAAGTTTGAATTGAGAGTTCTCGAATGATCACCTTTCATCACTCTTCCTCACTAACAACAATAGCACTATTTTAAGTTTGTGGGTGACTTGAGTGTATAGTTCACCATCATTGCAGAAATGCTTTTGTGCAAGTTTTGAAAATGCAAAAAGTACAGTTTCACATTTGTTTTCCAGAATGTCTGCCAGACTCTGTGGTGCTCAGTGAAAGGCTTTTGTCGCTCTAAGCTGGACGCTGCTGCAGATGGGACACGATGTGGTGAGAAGAAGGTGATTGGCAGGCTGAGGAAGGAAGGTGGGAGGGTGGTGGGTTCTTGGGAGGAGTAGGGAGAGGGCCCTGGAGAGCAGCTGTCTGGGTGAATGGAGGTCACACAGTCAGACTAGCCAGAGGAAAAGATCTTATTTCCATGATGTCTTTTGAGCCTTCACTGGAGACGGTGGAGGAGAGAGGGCTGAGACCCAGTTCTACACTTCACTTGCAAAACATCCATCCCAAATTTCCCTGATGAACTTCGGTGGAATTTGTGGTCAATAACATCTGCTGAGCTTATTTATGATCAGCCTTCATTTG